TCTTCCCTCCCCCACGCATACACTCTCACACACACACACCACTCTCTCTCTTCCCTCCCCCACACATGCACTCTCTCTCTCCCCCACACTCATATACATACACCACTCTCTCCCTTCCCCACCCCCACACATACACTCTCCTTCTCCCTCACACTCACACACACACACACCACTCTCTCTCTTCCTCACCCCCACACATACACTCTCCCTCTCCCTCACACACACACACACATGCACACACCATTCTCTCTCTCCCCCCCCAACACATACACTCTCCCTCACACACACACACACATGCACACACCACTCTCTCTCTTCCCCAACCCCACACATACACTCTCTCTCACACACAGACACACACACGTACGGACACACATGAATCTATGGGGTGAATTTGTATTTGCAGATACATTCTATTTTGTTCAAAAAGCACACAATTTATGGACAATCAGTCAATGTGGCATTTTCTAAATTCGTACTTTAGGCATAAAACCAGTGTGACTCCAAACTAAAACACTAACAGATTCTAAACAAGGTCTCACATCTAACATGCATTATCTGACCTAAAATGTCACCTCTTCCTTACGCTGATTAAACCTTTAGTTCTCTCAGAGCAGTGACTTGAAAGGAATTCAGGAATTTACATATACATATTAATCAATTAAAAGCTCCTAACTGATTAAAAAATTAACAGCATCTTAGGTTTGTTTAATACATCTTCATCAGTGGTGTGACCCTGTAATCTTTTGCTTATAAATTCTGTGTCTGATGCCACCTCTCTCACTAACACCTGAAGGAGGAACGAGGATCCGAAAGCTTGTGTTTTCAAATAAACCCATTGGACTACAACTTGGTGTCGTGTGATTTCTGACCTTGTCCACCCCAGTCGAACACTGGCACCTGCACATCACAAATCCCTTGGTCACCTCATATTTCTGAGAGATTATATGTATCTTCTTCATGAAGACAGGTGCAAAGTAACTGATTAGTTTCTCTGCCATTTCCCTGTTTCTCACAAGAAATTCTCCTGTCCCCACCTGTAATGTGCCTGTGTTTATCCTTGCCAATCCTTTACCTTTCACATATCAATAGAAGCTCTTACAGTCTGCCTTTATGTTGCTCATGAGCTTGCAAACATGTTCTTTTTTGCTTTTCCTTATCAGTTTCTTTGCCCTCCTTTGCTGGTTCCTAATGCCAAGGCTTATCATTATTTTTAGAAGCTATAGGAGTCACCTTGTTTGATTTAACACATTAAACTTTCACATATTTCATTAACCAGGGTTGATTCACCTTTCCTATGGATGTTTGTTCCTTAAAAGAATCGTTATGAACCTTGTGACATCACTTTAAATATTAGCTATTGCTCACATAACATCAACTTTGAGTGTTTTTGTCTTAATCCAACTTGACCCTCATCAGCTCACAGTTTCCTTTGCTCTGATTTAAGACCATTTCAGTATTTCACTCAGCTCATTCCTGGAAGCAGGAGAAGTGGTGTTCTTATGGGGAAACTTGGACAAGCTGAGCCTGTATCCATTGCACAAAAACAAAGTTGCTGGAAAAGTTCAGCAGGTCTGGCAGCATCTGCGAAGAAAAATTGAGAATTAATGTTTCGGGTCCAGCAACCCTTCCTCAGAACACACTGCAGTTTGGAAGAGTGAGACATGATCTTATTGAAATATCTCTGAGGGGACTGAACAGGACGGATGCTGAGAGACATTTTCCCCTCGTGGGAAAGGAAAGAACTCAGGGATGAAGTTTAAAAATAAGTGGTTTTCCGCTCAAGATGGAGATGAGGAGGATCTTTACCCACAAAAGGTAATAAATCTCTGGAAATTTCTTTCCCAGAGAGGTGGCTTCGTTGAATATTTTGGGACTGAGGTAGATAGATTCCTGACTAATAAGGGAGTCAAATATTCTCAGGGAATGTGGAGATGAGCACCCCCCCCGCTCCACCACTAGATCAGCCATGATCTTATTTATTCAGCTCAAGGGGCCACACTCCCACTCCTAATTTTGTAAGCTTGTACAATGGAGTTAGAGTTATAGTGAAATTACAGCGCAGTTATGACAAAGTCAGAACAGAAATAGCTGTCCAAAGAGCACAGTGGTTTGAATGGCTTCCCTGACATAAGATTTTTTGACTTTCAGAAGGTTGGGAGAGTAATTATACACCAACTGTCGAAAACTGCCTGGAGTTTTCAGATTGTTTCCAAATCCTCACTTGTTTGAGAAAATTTTCACAGGAACTTTACGGAAAAACTGAGACAGAGAGAGAGAGAAAGAAGGGGAGAGAGAGAGAAAGAAAAGAAGGGAGATATAAAGGAAGGCTGACTGAAGAGAGGAAGCTTATATCGTCCATTCACCAGGTGAATCAGAATATCAGGATTACTGGTGGTTTGTCACAAACTGTCATCATGGACAGGATGTGAAGGTGCTGGTGTTGGTCTGGGGTGGCCAATGTCAGAAATCACACGACACCAGGTTATAGTCCAACAGTTTTATTTGAAAACACATGCTTTCGGAGCGCTGCTCCTTTGTCAGGCGAAGTCAAATGGAAAGTGAAGACTTTCCCTTGCTGAAGTTCGGTTTCTCCCTCTGTCGTAAGTGGTTCCCCCCCTCCTTCCCGGCCCAAGGGTCTCCCAGGTGAGGATGGAGCCAACAGTTTGTTTGTTAGGGAAGTGGATAGGGTGCCAGGCTCTTAAATCTCTGAGAAAACAAGACACCAAACTGAGCACTTCCCTGTCCTTTCTAAACCCTGAGCAGCTTCAGTTCTCTGATAGCAGGGAGAGGCTAGCTGTTTAAAGGTGAGGAATTCTATCTCAAGCACAGGCTGGATGAAGACCAGACCTCCCCGGTCTCTCTCTCTCTGATCACTATCCGCTCCTCCCTTCACTGGAATCCACAAGAGCCAAGGTGGGAGGATGTGTTAATTCCCCGGCATCTCAGAGTCTCCCTCTGCCCTAGGAGTGCCGACTGGAGGAGTTTCCTCTGTGAGACCACTCGGCCCGTCTGCTCCGTGCTGGCATTTCTGCTCCACACAAGTTGCATCCCAATCCCTTTTCATCTCCTCCTCTCAGTCTATCCTCCTATTTCTTTCTCCTTCGTGTGGTTTATCTGGATCCCCTTCAATAGATTGATATTATTCCCCTTGCCCAAATTCCCTTCCCTCTCCAGGTGAAGATGGTTCTCCTGAAATCCTGATGGGATTTATTTAGGGACTGCCTGAGGTTGGTGGCCCTGAGCTCTGGTCTCCCCAACAAGTGGAAACCCTTCATCTCTTTAAAGACCTCAATGATCTCCCCCCACCCCCAACCACCAGAGAAAACAGCTCCATCCCATTCAGTCTTCCCTAACATTCGGACTCTCTCCATCCATGAACCAAACCTTGAAAACCACTGCAGCCGCTTCCCCTCTGCCTTTTCCCAACACGGAGACCAGAACTGTTCCCACACAATCTACATTTAGCCAGCAGCTTTCACAGCCTTTAGCCGATTGGAGTGGAGCTGCTGTTGTAATGCAGGAGACGCAGGTCTGTGCACAGCAAGATCCCACGCTGCATACTTACCTATGTATGATGCCAATTGTGTCCGAGGTGGAGAGGCTACCTGCAGGCCTCGGGTGCCCCTCAGGTACCTTACCCAGGCAAACAACCACCTGGATCGGAGAGCAGTTTGACCAGAAGAGATACTGCAGTGCGTCCCATACAAATATGTGGTTGAAGATGGTAAGTCACTGAGATTGAACACACTCAGCCTCACCCTTCACCCTGACAAAGACATAGAGACCGTTGCTAGCAACTACCAGCCCCTCTCCCATTCCCCAAATCCGCTCCTATCCCTAAACCCTCTCCCCACCCACATTCTTGGGATGTTTCAATCACAAGCAACCACAAATTGCATTTATATAGCACCAACATTGCAAAGGCATTTCACAAGAGCTTTATCGAAGAAGAAAACCTACCCAAAGTAGGTTAAAGACTCAGGAGGGTTTTTAGGAGCCGGGGTGGTTGCAGAGATAGGGAGGGGTGTAGGGGCTGGAGGAGGTTACAGAGATAGGGAGGGGAGTAGGGGTTGGGGGCATTTACAGAGATAGGGAGGGGGTGTAGGAGCTGGAGGAGGTTACAGAGATAGGGAGAGGGTGTAGGGGCTGGAGGAGGTTACAGAGATAGGGAGGGGTGTAGGGGCTGGGGGAGGTTACAGAGATGGAGAGGGGTGTGGGGGCTGGGGGAGGTTACAGAGATGGGGGCGGGGGTGTAGGGGCCGGAGGGGTTGCAGAGATAGGGAGGGGTTTAGGGGCTGGGGGAGGTTGCAGAGATAGGGAAGGGTTTAGGGGCTGGGGGAGGTTGCAGAGATAGGGAGGGGTGTAGGGGCTGGGGGAGGTTACAGTGATATGGAGGGGTGTAGGGGCTGGGGGAGGTTACAGTGATAGGGAAGGGCTTTGGCACCAGAGAAGGTAACAGAGATAAGGGAGGGGTTTCAGAGCAAGGCGAGTGGGAGCCAGGTGCGATTTATGGATTTTGGTTAGGGGCGAGTGGGAGCAAGGTGGGGTTTATGGGTTTTAGTTAGAGGACAGTAGGTTTTGAGTGAGGGTGAGGAGTGGGTGAGAGTGAGGTGGTTTTGAGTGACGGTGAGGGGTGGGTGAGAGTGAGGGGATTTTGAATGAGGGTGGAGGTGGGTGAGAGTGAGGGTGAGGGGTGGGCAAAGTGAGGGGTGTGTGAGCGTGAGGGTGAGGGGTGGGTGAGAGTGAGGAGATTTTGAGTGAGGGTGAGGGGAGGGGTGGGTGAGACGGAGGGGGTTTTGAGTGAGGGTGAGGGGTGTGTGACAGTGAAGGGATTATGAGTGAGGGTGAGGGATGGGTGAGACTGAGAGGGGTTTGGGTGAGGGTGAGGGTGAGGGTGAGGGGTGTGAGGGTGAGGGTGACGGAGGGTGAGGGTGACGGAGGGTGAGGGTAAGGGTGACGGGTTGTGAGGGTGAGGGGGTGTTTCTGACATCCGTCACCTGTGAGTGGCAGAGTAGGCCGAAGGTGACCATGATGGAGGCTGGCAGCAGGATGGTTCCAAAGACAGTGGTGATGAGCAGGACGTTGAGGAGAGTGACCAGGATGTTGTGGGCAGTGAGCAGCACAGCACAGGCCCAACAGTCCAGGCCACTACGCAGCTCCAGACCCTCCCCTCGACAGGCTGGGTCACTCGGGTACTGGGGTGGCACCTCCACGCTCTGTTGGCCCAGTGCCAGGGTATCGAACGAGTCCACAAGATCGGACATGGTGGAGCCAATCCCAAGACCAGGCAGCAGCACCAACACCCCTCCCTGTGCCCGGCACAGTCTGATCCCAGATCGCTCTTAAAAACCTTTGTGAAGTCCGGCAATAGAGCGGCTCCTTCCGAGGATCAGTCTCTCACTGTCTCTCTCACCAGATGCTGAAGAGTGAGTCCAGGCCTCTCTCTCCCAGCAGGAACCAGGAGCAGGGCCCCCAGCACTTAATCCTGGAATGTGAGATAACTAAGCCCCCTCAGTGATATGACGAGAGACTGAGAGTGTCAGGGGGTCGGGTGGGGTGGGGTGGGGGGGGTGGTGGGGGGAGCAGCGCTGTCAGAGAGGTGTCACACAATGGAGCCTCAGACTCCCAAATACACACACGCACACAGACTCTCACACACACACACACACACAAACACACTCTCACACATACACACACAAACACACACAGACACACACAAACACACACACACAGACACACACTCTCTCTCACACACACACACACACAGACACACACAAACACAGACACACACTCTCTCTCACACACACACACAGACACACACTCTCTCTCACACACACACACAGACACACACTCTCTCTCACACACACACACACTCTCTCTCACACACACACACACACACACAGACACACACTCTCTCTCACACACACACACAGACACACACTCTCTCTCACACACACACACACACACACACAGACACACA